AGCTCTCGCACCCGGATTCCTGAACCCCAATAGGACAACCTGCCGAACCCTGACTGCTCTTGCACCCCAGGCACAGTAGCTCGAGGATCGGAACACACGGCATGAAAAGGCCGAACTCAGCCCAGTACCTTGGACGACATGCCGATCCCCATGAGTGACGAGTCTGACCTTGACTCCCCATGTTCGCAAAGGTTCAAGATTCAGATGTGTCCTGGTGCCGTCGACGATTGAATGGCACAGCGTGTCACTAGTTCATCAGCACCGAAGACATGCACAGCAGTAGGATATGGTAAGACGTGGCAATGCAGTCGTAAACGGAAACGAAGCGATTTGCCTTCGCTGAATGTCGTGCACTTCGGCAGAATAGCCAAAATAAAAGCAAGACCCCTCCCACGAGGTGGTCAGAAGCGCGGTCACCGAGATGCCAGTGCTCCAGAAGCAGCTCATGATCCAGCTGCATCAAGCTGGAAATCAGCTTAACCTCACTCAACTCGAAGCGCCTCACACTCCCCGGTCTTGTAAATCTTCCAAACCGCACGCCCTAACGGCTTGAGTATATCTTCAGGCTCTGCGAAGCAGGGTCTCTGAAAAACCACTCTTCAATCACGGCACGAGGTTCTTGAAATGCTTCCCCTTCATGGATTCGTGGACGGGCCCGAAGTAATCGCTTTTCCTCGCCTCGTCCTGACTGCAGTTTTGGGATAGCCGGGTTTCGGTCAGACGGGAGTAAAGGAGAAGACTGGAAAACCACACTCAGCCGAATGCCTAGGGGCCTAGTGCCTAGCTGCTTGGGTTTGGTCGAGGAAAAGAACCTTGCAGAGTTTCACGAGTTTCTACGCTCCTTGATGAGTGCGATCTGCTTTCTCGCCTCGTCGTCATCCACATCAGTCTGGCGGCCCTGGACCGGTACCAATGTCGTGCTTCACGGTCAAAGGTCTGCAAAAACGTTCACTGCGCACGTGCGAGGCAGAGAGTCCTGGATCACCAAAGAGAGGTGGCTGACCTCCTCCGGGGAAAGATCCTGCAGGCAAGCCATCTGATGCCAAAAAACTGGACCCAACCATTAATGCACCGAGCTTGTGGGGGTTAGCCACGCGTAGTGCCGGTAGTTTGGGCTCCTCCGGTTCCCTGTCGGGCTGCGACGTCAAGGAAGCCAGCTCCACTGTGAGTCCAGTCCTCCACGATCTCGGGGTTTAGTTCCAAGGGCTGGGAAGACAGAAGCTTAGGTTTTGCACCGTCTTAGTCGAAGTCGGTTGCCAAACACTGCTTATCGTTTTGGGGGCAAAGTCTTGAACCAACCTCAGTACCTCCTAGTTCCGAGAGGTTCGGTTCTGATATCGTTGGAATCTGCTTCATCTTGGGCGTCTCCGGTTGTTGACTCTGACAGCCAAACTTGCAGAACCGCCTCTTGCAGAACTTGAACCCGGACACGATGTCGACAACATCCACTCGCTTCCGGATGGTCCTCAAAGGACGTTCTGCGATGCGGGCTTTGCCGCTGGGATGCCTACAACGCTCTATCTTGCAAGTTCAAGACCTGGGACCGTGAGCAAGTTGAGACAAATTTTGCCCTGACCCAGAGCAGCCCCACCCGTGTCGCAGGGCCAGGCCATCCCAAAGCTCCCCAACGGTCATGGGCTTCACCTCAGGCATTCTGGCTTTCCGGGCTTCCGGGCCTTCGGGGCACGTCTGAAGCATGATACCAAGGTCGACAAGTTCGAGACGATTCCCCGGGTGCTGCATGGGAGCTAGCGGCCGCGAACACAAAACCCCAAGGCAGAGACCCTACCAAATGAAGACTGTGTCCCATATGAAAACTCTAGGCGACGTCATCTCATTTGGCAATAATTCTCATCATGCCTTCGACCATCACCATCTAATCGGCGTTACGTTCACCGGGACGGCCGGTAACAAAATAACAAGGACAACCACACCGACAACCACAACCACAGCGAGGGCAAGGGCAGCAACAGCTCGCTAGCGCTGACACAAGACGAGAACGTTTCATCATGTAGTAAAGAGGTGTCTTTCTCTGGGACGAATTCGACACCGTATGCGACAAAAAACCTCCTTACCTTCGAGTACCAAGTTGCACCGCAACATGCAATACATAAGGGCAACAGGAAAGGTTTACAGTCAAGAAAGATTCTGTTGCAGAGGAGATCCGGCAAGGAATGGCGGAGATGCACAACATGGTTGCGACAGCTCGCGAACTCCGTTTGACAATGAGTCTGATCTTGTCTCTGATCGACGGTTTAACATTGCATTGCTAGATTCTATGTGCTTGGGAGACACATTACAAGTGGCTTTCCCTCCCTTCACGATGCACAGGCGCAATCCCACATATGCACAGCACAGTGGCCGGAGCAAGGACAGAAACACATGGAACTGCGGCAGGAAGAGGAGTCACAGCAACACCACTCTCGGCACTGCTGCAGGCTACACCAGCGAACCGAGCACGAGACTGGCACTGTGACAAGACCGTAATTCATCAAGTTCGCAAGCGCCGTAGATGCATGGTGTTATCTCACTGTGTCCCGTGCGAGGAACCCATGCATGTGCTGTGCGGCACTTGCGGCCGTTCAGCGCCGGCCCAAACCCTTCTTGAGCCAGCGACCTACTCCCCAATCCCTTCGTTGTATATCCGCCGAGGCCAGAGGCCCAGGCGTCTTGGGTCTTACCTCAGGTACCCTCCACCTAATCCTCCTCCCTGCAGTCCAAATGTTTGGGGACACCCGTTTTTTGCGTTCGTTTGCCACCCCCTTGCCCGGCTTCCCCTCATTTTACCTGATTTGTTGGCCTACCCGCCCTCTCCCAGGCCTCCTCCCCCCTCTTTTTTCCACCCCACCCCTCTCCCCGCCCCCTCCCCCCCTCCCCCCCCTCCCGCCCCCCCCTTTTCCCCTTTCCCGCTCCCTTCCGTCCTTGGCCTCTCCCCTCGCACCGCCCTCCGACTTCTTCTGCCCACCCCCGTCTCCTTTTCCTCGTCCCCGCTTTGGCTTTCCCACCACGCTCTGAATCGAGCATTTCACGGGTGCATTGTCTTCTTTTCGTTCTCTGACCAGACCGTTTACAAGACCCTCGCCCTGCCACTGGAGAGCCGAGGCGGGCGGCGTAGCGTTAAAATTACCTAAGAGACGAATAACCTCACAGTTTGAGAAAGCGTCACAGCAGAAGCAGCAACAACAACAACAACAACAACAACAACAACAACAACAACAACAACAACAACAACAACAACAACAACAACAACAACAACAACAACAACAACAACAACAACAACAACAACAACAACAACAACAACAACAACAACAACAACAACAACAACAACAACAACAACAACAACAACAACAACAACAACAACAACAACAACAACAACAACAACAACAACAACAACAACAACAACAACAACAACAACAACAACAACAACAACAACAACAACAACAACAACAACAACAACAACAACAACAACAACAACAACAACAACAACAACAACAAAACAACAACAACAACAACAACAACAACAACAACAACAACAACAACAACAACAACAACAACAACAACAACCACAACCACAACCACAACCACAACCACAACCACAACCACAACCACAACCACAACAACCACAACAACCACAACAACCACAACAACCACAACAACCACAACAACAACAACAACAACAACAACAACAACAACAACAACAACCACAACAACCACAACACCAGAGCAGCAGCAACAGCAACAGCAGCAGCAACAGCAACAGCAACGGCAGCACGACCACAACCACAACCACTCCCTTTACTATACTATCTACTATCTATATGCTTGTGCCATTCGCACGACTTCAGCACTATCTGCATCTGCAGTAACGCCTGTCACAATTCTCAACAGTGACAGGGCCCATCCCTCGGAGAAGCCAAAAACTTGCCAAAGGGCGAGTCCAAGCTCGCTCCTCCGCGATGCACGCTTCACGGCCACTTTCCTTCTGGCTGCGCGGCCTGGCATCGGGCAGGCCCTTGGTTTGGGGGTGGTTGGGATCTCCATTCTTCCATTCAACGTAGCCATCTCTACTGATGACAAGATGCAAACAATTGCATGTTCCGCTGAACACTCTTTTCCGGAATGCTAAGGGCCACCTCGAGCCACCGCCTGGATCTTCATGGCCGCCCGATCCTGCAGCGGTTCGCAGATTCGCAAGGCTCGGACGTTAAAAAGGCCCCCTGGGTGCTGTTCGCGAGTCCCTAGATTTTCTCTATACACCGTTCCGGAATACACCTAAGTCACATAAGTGACTGATGAACGACATGCGCAAAGCTGCCGTTCGTCTCTTTATTTTCAGGCTTCTCTAGTCAAACGAGATGATCGCGAAAGCTGTATCGACATTTCTGCTGGTGAGATCAGACCCCATCAAAGCCTCATCGGAGATTGCGCTCGCGGCATTGGCTGGAACGGTGCCTCGCTGTTCACGGATGGAACGCGAAGAAAGCAGCACAAATACGCTCCTGACACTGTCAGACTGTTAATGCATACCAAAGTCCGAGGTAAAAAGCCTACGGTTCTAGATAGCCGTGGTTGCCTACCTTCTCCCCCAACAAACATTAGTGGCTTCCGACAGCAATCCCGAACATTCCATCTAGCTTGCATTTTCTTCTAGTTAGGTTGCACCAACTGGACTACACATCGCTTTTGCTGAGCACGTTACACTGCGAAGAGGAGTGTGCGTTGCGAAAGTTCATGTGGCCGACCGCTGGGCCGTGAATCCCCAACCGCCGCGTGGGATCCCTGCCTTCGAACAACAAAACCCCAAGCAACAAACAACATGCAACGCGGCATGCATGTGAAGAGGATGCCCCCTCAAGAGACGTGCCGGGGAAGGATATCGAGGCGCTCTTAAGGCCAGGGGACCGAACAGCCCCAGAGGTGCCACAGCCCAGGCTGCAAACTCCTTAGTTGCGAGAAATGTTCCACGGTCTTCGGTCAATGTGTTGGCTCGAAAACCGTTGGGATTCTACGTAGAAAATGCCTGCTCATGCTGCTCATGCACGCAAAGAGCTTCCGCAAGGAGCATGCGGAATTGCCAACCTACTCCTAACCCACAACCTTACGCAACACCCTGCAAAATTCATGTCGTGACGATGACGATGACAAACCCATCGCAGGCCAGTTCACATCGCGCTGTGGCACGGCACACATTTTCGACCAACATGGCATTGTTTCCACGGCCGCTGCGGCCACACACACGATGCATCGTACGGTCCACACCTTTTGATGCCGGCATGCATCTTTTGGTGTGTGGTTGGGTGGAAGTTTGTGCCTTCAGACACACGCAGTTCCTCAAGTCCCAATGATCAGAAGGGTCACTACGTTGGTGTGCTCCCGACATCCCACTCTGATCGGCTTCTCATGTTGGCGAATTCCGATATTGTTCTCCCGCCACAGTGCGGTGCACACATGTTGGCCGTGATTCTTGTTTCCACATCCGAGTTCCGCGGTCATGCTGCGATGGGACTCCCGCTCGTGCCAGGGCGTGGTGCCTGCTTTTGTGATGTTCGTCGTCGGGTCCTGGTGATTCCGGTAGTCTTAGTCGTCACCGTGGTCGTGGTCGCGGTGGTGGGTCGTCGTGGTCGTCTCGGAATTGCTGGTCGTGTTGGCTGTCTTGGTGCAGTCGTGGTGTTCGTTGACCTCTTCTTCGTCCTGCTATCTCTGGGGTGTGCAGTGTGCATATAGCATACACCATGGCTTCATATGACTACACGTACGAGCCTCCCTGAGACACAGTGATGATGTCATTGTCCCAAACAACTACAATCCACTCCCGTTGAGACACATCGAAACCCTCAGCATGTTTGTCAAATTCTATTTTTACAGGCTGCAGTCTTTGCGGGCCTAATGCCCTGCACCTTCCGCAGCCTGTAGTGCCCTTGCAGGCCCAGCAGCTTTACATTCTTAGCGGGTTCTGCGACCTAGCATAGACCAGGAAGGATGAGGACACCAAAAAACCCAAAATCAAAACCCTTGAAGCGTTTTTGGGCTTTCTTTGGGTCCTGCTGCAAGTAGTGTTTGTTCGTTACGCCTGAGCGAAACAATAAAAAAACAGAAGATTGTGCAGAGATCCATCTTTCTCCTTGGTCAGAGCTGGTGTTTTCGTGGAAACCCCTCCATTCCGAACGAAAACCGGCATTGGTTTTTCGGCAACAATTGCGTGGCAAAACCAAAACACAAAAACACACAAACTGTAGAAGACAAGAAAAAAAGCTTTTGGAGCGGTGCACGGTGGGTTTTAGAGTTTCTGTTTGTTGTTTCGCTCAAAAGAATCGATATCCGTAGGACAGCTCTGAAACGTCTGCAACAGTTTTGGACGTTTGGGTTTTCCATGCATTCGGATTGGTGTTGTTTTGTGCGTTGGTTCTGCCTCAGCAACACCTCTGTTTCCTAATTCTTCAAAACCCATCTCTTTCCTGCAACGCAAGGCGAGCCATCTTTGAGATGGAGCTCGGAGGGTGCATTTCTGTTGTACACATAACACTATTGAACCAGACATGATTGTGTAGGACTTGTGAGTATGTCCGAACGACCATAAGAGTCACACGCTATTTACAGCGGGACAACGTTGGGTAGGGGGAGCAGGCAACGAATCCAAGAGTTCAAACAACAGTAACTGCGAAGTTTATTGCTCGGCATCGGGCCATGTTGGCACCCTTAGGCCTGGCGCAGTTTACTTGTGACTTCATTGGCCCTCGAACGTTGCCCGACGGGCCTGCTACCCATACGGCACAATTACATCAGGATTTAATTATTTCCCCCACACCATCCCTAGCCCAACTACATCAGACAGTAGTCGGTTCCTAGAATTAGCAAGAACGAAACGGCTAAATCACCTTGGAATTTCAATTACCTCCCAGACCATCGTTTCGGGCTCAAGGTTTAAGGTGGGCAGGGGATGCAAGGTCCGCATGCTTGTTTGTTCACGACTTTGTGTGCGGATGTGTCTATGGGACGCGCCCCTGGGCGACCGTTTAAAAGCGTCCGACTATCATGATGTAAGTGTGTATTGGACAGATGCATAGACAGGCAATTAAACCAAGATTTACTTGTGTCATTGGAAGGTCCAAGGTAGGCCAAAACCGAACAACTACATGGAGATTTAGGTCTTTTTAACTTCTGCATTAATTGGTTTTCCTCTGTCCACGATCCCAGCTGGCAGGGCAAGCGGGAGCTTCATGAGTTGGGCTGAATCTCAGGTAAACAGGCTGTGGGGTCGAACGGAAGGAGGCAACACCTCTCGGCACGCCGGCTGTGCACGGCTCCAGGGCTCAGGGTTTAGGATGGTGTGGCTCGCGGTATACCCGACTAGCAGCATCACCACTCTGCCAGTGACACGGGTTGCTGAAGAAACAAGGCCTCGGTAAGTGAACCTGCACAGCTTGAGATACTACATCCGATGCCAGCCATCTTAAATCTAAAAACCCGGCCGGGTAAACCAAATTCTGTGCCAAGCTGCATCCATGCTCATGACTCCATCCTCCCGAGTGGATGCCGGAAACCGCTTACTACAAGGGAACGAAACGCGGCCGCATAATCACTAATAAGGTGCAAAAATGTACAAATGCGTCCTTGCTAAGATCCGCATCTGCAAAGATGGAATCCAGATCGTCAGGGCTGAAGGTAGGGTCCAGGATATGCAGCACTGCTTTCAGCTCCGCCTGACACAAGCTTCGAAGATCCCAAAGATGCGGTCATACCGAGATTCGGAGACTCGTCCAGAAAGCACAACCATCGCAGACTCTCACAAGCCAGGACTGGACTACGACATCAGTGCTCCATGCTGCCGGCGTGAGCTGCCTCTCAAACCGGTAGAATCGGACATCCAACACAAAGACCTTCCCACGTCTCGCGCGGCCTCGCTGATCTTCCCGTCTCCGTTGAGATCGAACTTATGAAAAGCAGCAGTGATCGCTTCTCGGTGACGCTCCACGTCGGCCACATCGGCCACGTTGGCTTCGGCCATGGTGTACACATTGGCCCGGATTGGCAGCGGTTGAGAAAAACTTTGCAGATTCATGTAGTCATGTATTAGTGTGTTTGCAGTTAAGTGTTTGACGACTGGACTTGCTTGTTTTTTCCTGTTTACTCTTGCTGTCGCAGACAGCTGTGACACAATATAACCATTGAGAATGATCAGTCTCCGGCACCATTTGTTGTCTACGAAATGCTCTGAGCTGCACGTGCATGACAAAATCTTTTGGCACATTTCGTCTGGGAAGTGCAGAGACACATACAGGAGCACAAGGCTTGCGAAGCGCATGCGAAGGACAAAGGAGGGCACACCTGGGACCTGGGCCAGACGTGGCTGGAGATCTCCAAGGACCCATCGCCGTCAATCGAAAGTTCCATGGCCACCTGCAAACACTTCTCACAGCCGATCCTCCGAACCGCAGACCTGCCAAAAAAACCTTTAGCCGAAAGCCCTAGAAGAGAGAGTTTGATGCGCCTCCTCGGAATCCGGGGCAAGCACCATCGGTGCAAAGAAGCCGAGGCCTCCCAGGGCTACCGAGGCACCTGGCAGCTCCCCCCGAGCCCGGCCGAACGGCACTTCAGGGCGGTGTCGAAATTCAGTGGAGCTTGTTATGACTGCAGCCTTCAGTCGATATGCCAGTTGTTGAGATTCTCAGGAACCACAAGCACAGACGAGAAATTAGCAAAAAAAGCACGATAGCCGTCGAGTTCTCCTGGCACTGATTGGGATTCACTTGAAGCCTCCACTCGAGGTAATCATGTCTACATCTGCGGGTCGCACAAACTGCAAGATGTTGCGACAGCAGAGCCAAGCAGCAGCAATAGCAGGCCAGCCGGGCCCTCGCGTTGCGCAGCAAGACCGGCAACGAAAAATTCCTTGTGAGCTAGCAAAGCAGGAGGAAGCTGGGTGATTGCTCACTTTCTGCTTACTGTACGGAAGTTGGAAAGGATCCAGCTTTGGAGTAGATGTCACGGTCGTTTAAGCAAGATGGGCTTGGTGGAGACGGCAACACTTCGCAGCTGCTAGTTGCAGCTTGTCGACCAAGCACCTACATGCTGACAAGCTGCCAGAAAAGCAGCCGCCGGCACAACGATTTCGCCAAATATCACGTGGTCATTCAACAGCGCCAAGATCCTGCTCATGCATTAAGTTGTGCAAGTGAGTTTGGGCGTGCAGTATCGTCATGATGCACCAGTACGGTGGTTCGAGAAATTCTTGACCCTGGGCTCGATCGGTGGTCCAGCCTGGGCTCTGTGACTCGCACCCTGTAGCAGACCTGAGGCTGGCAGAGCGAAGACACGACTGTCTCCGCTTCTTGTACTCGAAGTCCAAGAGCTTCTACACCGTAGCAGACCTAGCACCGGCACCCTGGTCTTTGGTTGTCTTCCTGTCGGCATGACATGGACAATGCAGTCTCCGCTACTCTGTGCAGCTCGAACGAAATTGTAAGAAAACCTGTTCGCTCTCGCGTGCTGCCAAAGATGCAGAAGTGGACACATGCCGCAATGTCTCAAGAAAGGGATGACGGTGCGCTGACCAGCGAAACAGAGCTTTGCCTGGTCTGTGATACTTTCTGCTTTAGGAATTCTCTAGGACGCTATGACACGAAACATGTCCACCCTGCTGAGACCCGCCGGTTTTGACCAACATTCCTCAGAGCTGCTGTTTCTACTTGGGGCTTAGCCACGTTTTGGATACTTCGAAAACGTTGGTGAGGCTTTGGCGGGGTCATCAAAAGGTGGTGAAAGCTCTGAGTAGCGCTCACGAGAACCCCCGCAGCGAGCCTGCATCCTCGTCGCTTGTCTTATAGAAGAAGGGCTGAACAAACGATCCCCACTGATCTGAATCTCAAGAACAAGACGGAAATCTTTGCACCGCACCCATCTGAAGCACCATGTTGCCAAGTGTTGCTAGCCATTCCTGCGAAGCCACGAAAGGCAGGTGGCGCCGGCTGCGCTGCAGCCGTCGCTCCGAAGGAGAGCAAGGCGTGAGCCAGGGTGCCGCCTCACGAGAGCACAATAGCCAAACTCCATTTTCAGTTGCTTCGATTCCTCTTTCGAGCATGTCTTCTTAAGGCCCGAGAAGAGCATATGGGAGTTTCCGAAATTAGGGGTACCTTATTTGGGGTCCTTATAATAAGGATCCTAGTATTTAGGGTACTATCATAGGGTACCCTTTTTTCGGAAACCCCCATATTATACGAAAGTGCACCCGACACTTGATGTCGAACATGAGAACCTGCGTCTACACTGGAGAACTGCTCTGGAGGCACGGCGTGAATATGCGAGGTGTTCATGTTTCTGCGGCAAGCTGACCTGGTCGTCCAAATGACACCTTCAAAAGGCTTAGGGTTCTCGTTTTGGTGATCGGTATAGCTGATGCCCGAACCCGACAAGTGTTAACACATCAGAAAACATCAGGCATCATCGGGCAAAATCTGCGTGCAGCCCAAGGCCGCGACCAAATCCGAAGGATGAGACCCCTCCGACTCCGCAGCGGTAGGCCTGGCCAAAGGCAAGAAAAATGGATCCCGAGCCGCTATGGGAAGCTTGGAGCCCTCGCAGCATGAGCTGCTTCAACTATGCCGCTGCCCATTGCAACAAATACGTCTCCTCCAAGACCCACACTTGCAGACACCGAGGACCGAAACCCTCAACAAATCCACCAAAGCTGTCTGCGAGAGATTCGGGAGATGGGGAGCAATGAAATCACAGTAGGAAACTGCCGAAGGTGGGCGATCTGCACCGGGCCCTAAGTTGGCCTTGGCGTCCAACGGACACGCAGACGCCGACACCTTACCGAAAAGAACAGAGCAGTCATGTTCAAAAAGGTGCCCCCGCTTTTCTTCGGAGCCGTTCCTGGATCGGAAATCAGAATCCTTGCTTTCGAAGCGTATTCGTGGTTTGGAATGCGATCAGTTGTCCGGCGGTAGCTGCCGGCCGAAGCGCAGAGCAAGGGCTTGGTGATTCTGAAACAGTGAAACCGAGTCCGGGCTGACCGGCTTACCTTTCCAGGAACTTGGAGCTGAATCCATACCAAATGTGTCCCGAGTTGTCCAGGTGTTCGGACAAGGGCTCAGAACGTCGACAGAGTAGTGGATTTTTTTATCAAACTCAAGTTGTCCCTGGCGAAAAAGGGGGTGGACGGAGACCATTTCAGTGGCGCTTGTCATGGTGATCTTCTGGTTATTGATAGAGACGAATTCCTATTCTGAGTCCTGAAAACTGCAAATCAAGATCGTCAGACGAATAGTGGGAAGAAGAGGAAGAAGAATACTAAAAAAGGAAGGATGCGCAAAACTCCAACCTGCTTCTTTCGGCAGATGGGGCTACCCTCACCTTGACCGAAACCTTTACTTTGGAAGGTTAGAGCTTGGGACACTGGGGAACCGAAAATCGTCCCAGGGCATTACCAATCCATCAAGGCTGCTCGAGCTCTGCCATACCGCACCGCTTCAGGCTGGCGGCGTTGGGAAGTTTGTTCTTCTATCGGATCTGGGATCATGTGGATGCACAGCTTTGCCAGGTGACCTCGTTCGTCCCAAGCCCAAGCCTTGCATCTGAACCCTTAAACCCCCAGGACCTCCCCTGCACAGCCCGATTGGGGTGGTATCCCCTTGCCGCCCAGTGGCGACCTCGGTGGCGAGGGCCAGCGAAGTTGAAGTCGACACCTGGCAGCCGAGACTTCTGAGGACGTCAGGGCACCTTGGCAACCCCGCAGCCTGGCAGAGATGCGCCAAAGGCATGCTCTGGGCCAGGAGCTCATGAAGACCTTCGAGCTTGGACAAGCTGAGCGCTAGATGATGATGTGCTTGCAGCAGAATGCAAGCCGAGCGGAAGGTCGGCGTGCGGCCTGCGAGGAGCCGTGCCAGTCCCGCAAGCCCCGCCGCACCCTCGCTGTGGCCGAGGCCTTGGAACAAACTCTCCAGAACCCTTCGGCCCTCTTCGCCTTGGGCCTAATCATCGCGTTCCACTAGGCTGAAATCTTCGAAGCTCAGGGGCTCTGCTTCTTCGCATTGGGGTCTGTCTGCGGCCTCAACCCCTGCTGCTTAGATCGGAAGTGCGCAGAAGGAAGAAAGATTGGTTTGGAGCTCGGGAGCCTCGGTGCGGGGATGCATGGTGCTTTGCAGGGGGGATTGCTGGCAATGGGTTCTCGTTCGTCCCAGAACGAGGGATGCCTGTACTGTGTTTCGCACACCTTGTCCCATGCTGATCAACGTCCACATAGAGACTCGCTGTGGCTCGACAGACCTCATCATAAGCCTCATGTTTGCAGCACAGAACTATCTCAACAGACTCCCGACGGTTTCAGCTCAGGGGCAGGTTTTGCCGGCTCCAAGCCAAAGTAGAGTGGACCGTCCTCGCTCAAGACTAACACAGTGCCTCCGTCTATTCCTCCATCCGTGTGCGTACTCATGCATCGCTACATCTGCATTCATCGCCTCGCTACTACGCAACTGCCCAAATAGCCCTCTGGCTATGTGGGAGTGCCTACGATGCCTCTTATCCCTAGGCAGGAACACCGCCGACAACATGGGGACAGCAAGGCGCAGGATTTGTTGAAGAAGGGTCGGGCCACCCACCACAATAGCATACAACAACTAATACCACAGCTCCTGCACAAAGACTTGAAATGCGAATGGCGTGTATGGAAGTGCAAAGATCGGGCTCCAAGCGGCAGCCTCGTGAATTCGAGTCACGTCATCTTTCTCTTCTGTCTTCTGCAAGATTGAGAGGCGATCGGCCCTGATGAGAGGAAACAGATGTTCCTCTACATGGGCTTGGTACCAAGGGATGTCCCCCAGGGAAACCGTCCTGCCAGCTTGTTCGGGGGAACTGGGAAACGACGATTGGCTGTCGTTCCTCTTGCTCGTTGCCTGTCCACCTCTCCACGTCGTCGTTCAGGTGATGCCATTCCGGATCGGAACTTTACGGTTGCTGCACTGCGAAAAGTGCCGCAAAGTGCCTTCAAGAGTGTGGGTGAGCTTGAATGCCACAAGATGCAATGCACAACAGAACGTAAGATTGCCAACATGCATGCCTGGAGTGCCAGTGGATCCTATTTGGAAGGATACAAACTCATGGGAATGCCGGAGATTCTGTAACAGGGGAGGAGCACCGACCGGTCGATGTGCGATTTGCAGGTGGTTGTGAACCAGGTCAGAACACGGAGGCTCGATATTGTCTTCATGTCAAGAAGCATGACCCGGATAAGCCGTGTTGAACTGCTCATATGCCACTTCTGGCAAACATGCACAGGTGCAGTGCTTTCCGTTGCAAGGATAAACGGAGGACCTGCCAGAAATAAGCAAATGCATGGCAAAATTAGCATTGCAAAGGGCGGCCAGTTCAGCGAAACTTGAACCAAACTTGCCCAAGCACGCCTTCCTGTGAATCAGTTGGAACCCGTATTGAATGAGGTAAGAGTTTCCATAATTTTGCCATTTGTTGACATGGCCTCGATATGGCACGTACCGAGCCCGGTCGAAGGCAAAGGACAGAAGCAAATACAGGAATTAATGTACCCGAACTCATGTGATGTCTCTTTCTTTCCTTCTCGAGCCAAAAGCACGTCCGAAGCTGTGCAGCCGCAACCCATATACAATTCAAGAGGAGATGGCGGTCTAGAAAAACGGGAATGCCTGCAACGTATTGCGTTCAGCAAAAGATGCTGCTGGCAGTGTGTATGGTTGAAATCAAGTCAGAAGACACTCCTTGTGTCAATGAACGCTTGGAGTTGTGCCCAGTAATATGTACGTGAAGCGCGACATGACTGCAGCAATCAGCGATTGCATCTGAACATGTGGATATCGATAAGTGTCTGGATGTAGGGCGTCTCGACCGCGGATGATTGAAAGCATGAAAGCATGAGATGGAGGGCCAGATTGCGGAGTTTGGAAGCTTTTTGGAGAATCAAGAGATTGGATTTCGCAAGTTTGATCATTTTGAGTTTGAACATAAGCTCGAGCTTGGAGTTAGAGCAGAAGGGGAATGCAGGTTGAATGGAATGATTGACACCGCAGCGACAGATTGAAAGTGTGAAGGTTGGAAAGTTTGGAGAAAGGCTCCAGCCTTCCCCCGCTCGGAGGGACGTCCACCCAACAGACCTGCTGCTCCCAACAGCGGGCCCGAAGGACCGCCCTCGAGCGGCCCTTTCCGGGAAGCGGCGGGTCGACTTGAGCCAAAATGGCTACTTTGCTTTGCTCGGGGTTTGAGGCAGGAGCAGCTTTGGCTACCTACTCTCTCTCTCTCTCTCTCTCTCTATCTCTCTCAGTGAGGGTCCCCACTTTCGGGTTAAGTCACCACGGCAAGAAGCAGGGGTACTCCGTATCAGATGATACTTCAGCACGCCTCTTCCTGCAGACGTCATCTCGGCGACATCACCCAGAACAGTGCCGGTGCCGTGCGACTCCTCTTTGGCTGAGTGGAGCTTTCTTGGCTGTAGCGGTAAACTTGCAGGGAAGCCGTCAGAAGTGCATAGAATCTCTCAGAGGGCAGTCCAACATGACGAGATCATTTGGCAGCCGACGTGCTTGTTCCAAAGCTTCATGCAGAAGCTCCTGCACAAGAAGAGGACGCGTGCAGAGGCATCTGCGACTCCCAAAAATTTGAAATTGAAAGCACGGAAACACAGTCCACGCTCCACTTTTTGACGATCCACAGATTGCAAAAGTCGCCTGCTGCGCGCGACTGCTGGGCGCTGTGAGGCTCGCACCGCGGCCGGAGCTAACGACCTCGAGTCATCACACAGGTTCGGGGCTGACACCCTGCTCGAACGCTCAGGAACGGGCTGCTGCAGCTTCAAGCTTCGGTCCCCCTGAGCCGAGATAAAGAGCTCCCACGGCCTCGAAACAACTGTGCGAAACAACAAAGACACACATGCAAGTCGACCATGACCTCTGCCCGGCCGTAGCCATCTGCGCTGGCATCGAAGCTGCGACAGCGGCCACTGCACGAAAGCAATCCTGACGAATGGCTAAGTTGAAACAGAGGGGCGTGGTTTCAGTGGATTCTGTGGCTGGGTAGCCCGCCTGAGCTGCTATGGTATCGAAAGACTGCAGGGTGCAGCAGGAGGTTGACTGCTGCGGCCAATGCTGGTGAGGCTCCTGAACCGGATTGAAAGGAGAATGCAAGAAGGGCCGAAGTCCGATTCATCTAGACCGGTTTTCAAAGCTTCAGGTCTCCTGCGCGAGCGAGCTGGGCAGCCAACGAGACTGCCACGAGGGCCGAGGAGCAGGCGGTATCTACGGCGAAGCTGGGCCCATGCAGGTCGAAGCCTAGGCGGTGCGGAGTTTCAAGCTTTGCATGGCATTTGCCTGATCTCTTTCCCGAAGCCGTATCCAAACAGTCACTTCAGACGGTAAAAGATCAAGGGCATTGAGCACTCAACGATTTCGTTAGAACACACGTATGCTCTGCCTCTGATCATGAATGCATACACCGGGGGCCGAGCTGAAGGAAACCCGATTGGCTGCGATGCAGGCACCTCGCTCGAAGCCCAAGCACGAATCGGCGGAAGGGTCACGCGACCAGGCTGTGCAGGTACAGCGTCAGCAAACCAGGTTTCCTTCAGTTTCAATGCAGCCAGAGCACAAACAGCTGCACTTGCATGCGAGCTTGGCGAAGTCCCACTGCAAGATCCCATGAGCAGAGACCAGTCGTTGTGAAACTGCGCAACGACGACTGCGCAGCTAGCCGAGCGGTCACGTGCGTCTGTCTGTGGCAGCACTTCGCCTGCACACTGGAGGACCAGGCGCTGCCCCGGGTCTATAACAGCTGCCTCGGCAAAGCTGATCTCAAAGTGAGCTGCATCGAAGAGGTCGATCTCTGTCAGAAAAGACCCATGGCGAGTCACAGATACGGTGTCGTTAATCTGACAATGCGAGTTCACATCCCATCTTGCCAACGGTGTCTCCACGGCTGCATCGCAGCCTATGACAGCTGTCTGCAAGAACTGCTGATGGTGACTGCCGTCTGCCAGAGAGGCTGTGATGCACTGCACTCCAACATGCCGAAACAGGGACTCGACAGCTCCTGTCTGCCATACTGGCTCCGTAGACGAGGCCGGCTGTCCCTGAGCGTCCTGCAAGAAAGTCGTCAGCTTTCGCAGCGTGGGGAAGTCGAAGGCCAAAGTCAAGGGCAGCCGGTCGGGCGTCACATGCAGTTCCTGCAGGGTGAACCAAACCGCGGGGTAGCTGAGATCTGATTCCTTACCGTCATTCTCAGAACTTGGCCCCACGCCTTCAGCACGATATCGCGAAGAACAAGAGCACCAGCAGAGGTCAGACCAATCTGCTCAGCATGGACAGCATGTCGCCAAAAGACATAATCACCATTGCCCAACTTCAGCTACCTGGACCTATGCATCTTCAAGAAACAAGCAAAACGGCTCCCACACCTGCGCGAATGGCACATCCTCCTCCCAGACAGAATCAGACCGAATGTCAACAACAAGCTCTCACATGCGCCCTTGAGAATAAAGCTCATGGTCGACTCATGTGCACCACGAAGTGCAGCGGACAAGGCAGAGCTACAGTAGGTGCGGCTCATGGCCGCAGATTTCTCCTCGACGTCTTCTTCTGCCACACCCAACCCATCAGAGACGCATTGTCGAATCAAGTTGAGCCATTCCTCGCGGTTGCAACATGCTCTTTGACTTGCAACACGATCCCGTTCATTGTAGAAGGTTTTCACTCCATGTTGCAGAAAACCTACTGGGAAGACTCGACTGACTGACCGCCCGGCAGGCTCGCGGATCGACTGACCGGCTGGCTGGCTGACTGGACGCTTGAAGCCATTCATTCAGGCGAAAGCCAAACAGAACTTTAAAAAAAATGCCACAACCACTCTAAGCAGGCTGCCGCGTTTGATGAACTTGCACTCATTCCCCATCTTCCAAGACCGCGGCCTGGCCAGCACATCGCATGGAACTGATAGCTCAATCTCATGCCCAAGGACACAGGTACCACTCAGGGTGTAGCTTGGAGTATCGCGATCGCGCGCCTTCAGGTTGTTGTCACATCCGCACCATCACATGGCTAGGACACAAGAAGCCAAAAGCGATAGAGGCAGCTCCAATATGTTCTGCCAAAAGTTTTGGACGAGATTCTCTGCTCCACTGTGCTGGTGTGCAAGCAACTGCAAGCATGCAAGACTTGACACAGCTATGTTCGAAAGCTGTCGTTCGAGTCTGACCATCGTCCAAGCTAGCAGGCCCAAGCATGTGCACATCAAGACTGAGCAGCTCCAAGATAAATCTCCGAGTCGCTACACACCTCGGCCATGCAACAGCGTATTTCTGCCGACTGCTCCCTCGTCATCTCGAGTCTTCACGTGCTGCACGGAACAGCAAGACAGCCATGCCGACGGCGGACTGTTTTGATTCTCTGGCTCTCCGGGATCCTTCTTGAGCATTGACCTGGCTCGGAACTTGCGGTTTGTTTGCTTTGCAGCTCGGGATCTAGATTGAGTTAGCCGAGATGAGCAGAAACAAGTGGCTCAACATTGAGTATTCAGTAAAGCAAACCCACCGTGCACTGAACAGCACTTGTAGTCATTCTGGCAAACAACAGCCTCCCACCGGCGACAACATGTAAGCATGAGTGCAGCTGACATGTCCCCTGAGCTTCTGCTCAGCGACGCTACCCCACAACAATTGAGCGCATGCCTAGGACAAGACACTCAACCCTGGATAAGAGAAGCAACTGCAGCAAGCTCTGCTTTGCCAAAACTTTGTGCCACCAACATGCCACTTTCTTACACACACACATACATAAACACACACACACACACACACGCACACAAAAAAAAAACAAAAAAAATGCCGGAAGCCAGTTCACAAGCACATGAACCACATGATCGGAGGCTGGGACCTGCGTCCGGATCAGGACCAACCTTATGGCCTTATGGTTTATATCTAACTTACAGGTATCGTGCATCAGCGGAGATCAGGTCGGCGAAGTGTCACGTCACGGTGAAGGAGGCTGCCGGGCACAACCGAAGCGAATGCAGACTGAGATGAGAGAGAGAAAGATGGACATTTTGCAAGCTGCCGAGAGCTTGGCACTGATGTTTGACTGCTTGACCTTGCTGCTTCATGCCATCGAAGAGAGCTTTCTGCCCGTAAGATCTATCTGTTTGATGAGACTTAGCGTTGGGAGTTGTGCGCCTGTGAATCGTGGACTCGAGCGTGCTTGCTGATGCCACAGCGGCTTCGTAGCATCCTTGTCTGACGAATCTGCGCGGGCGGCCGTGAAACATCGTCCATAGTAAGCCATGTGCATGGATAGCTGGCAGCGAACTGTATGGGACTGAAGCTTCTGGCGTTGATTGGCAGGTGCCGGCATTTGAAATCACATGGGATCGAATTATTAAGTTCGAAGTTTTCTTCGACAATCCACAGATCACAAAACCTCGGGAATTATGCGCGCGTTCTCGACCAGAGCTAGAAAACCAAAAGTCTCTGCCACCGAGGTTTCATCAATTGCTGCGAGAACGAAGGGTTGTCCAATGCCCGTTCCCCAACGCTTCCTCCGTGCTCTAGTAGTATGTCCGTTGGGTTCGTGATCTGTCTCGAAACAGTGTGGCTTCAGGTCCCAACGCTGAGGATCAATGTAGGTATTGGTTTGTGCGACGTTGCGGCATGCGCAGGCGGCACCTTCCGCGGCTGCTGTTACCACTGCGGAGCACATTTTTGACTCAAGTCGCATTCTTGCCACACTCACAGTGCGGCGAGGCCTCCGAGGACACTATCACACAACTCTCGCCATAGTTCCACACGACATATGGCGTGGGACGGTGATCCCGCCACAGTATGTGGATTTGCGTATGGTGATATTGCCACGTCCTTGGTCCTGGAACGCTCCGGTGCTCTTTCGCTGTTTGGTGAGTTTGGTGTCTGTACTGGCAGAGTTCTCGTGAGCGCCAAAAAGGTCTCCACACGCAGAACGTCCCAAAGTCGCCTCGTCAAGCGTAAGCAGGCCCGGGAGCCTGAAGCCACGGCTTTGGTGGGTGATTCATGGATTGCCTTGGGCTTTCTTTAGGACAGGTAACAGTTCCTCAGATCTGCAGCCAAAGGTCCGTCAGAAACTCTTTTCTTCGAGTGAAGCACTTAGGTGTCAGCGACTTACATGACTGTACTTGCTGTCACGTCACGCGGAGATCCAAAACTCCTGCAAAAGCACGATCTACTTAACATTGAGAGTTCTTGACATAGAGAAGCGCAAAGACAGGCTGCACACCAACGCAACTACGCAGCCGAAAGATGTGGCAGGGTAGCTTGCGCAACAACATAGTGCATGTTGGAAGCAAAACACTGTCAGGGTCCTTGGCTTTCTCGCGAGCAGCTTGATTCCAAGCAGACCTCGCGCCACCGCACGCCACTCAAAGAAAAAGATCCGACAGTTGTAGCAGCGAGACAAAGACACATAGTGCTGCTGAGATCCAACTATAATCCCTGCTCACTGCCGACACACAAAAGCCTTACCCTGAGGAAGGAAGTCAAAAGAGCTGTAGGCGCTAAAGAAAGCCACGCGTTCATGTTGCCGAGGCCCGGACATGTGCTGCGAGATTTCGGCAAAGTTCAACGACTTGGCCTCACGGAGCTCCGTGTTGCAAATTTCACTGCATAGTTGCAACATCGAGGCATCCCGAAGCCATGTTGGAATAACAGAGGTCAGAGGCAAAGCGAATGACCGTGCATTGCGAGTGACTAGTAGGCGACAAACCCCAGCCTCAAGACTCCACTAAACAAGCAACATTCCGGAGCCCCGCGACACCTGGCAAGGTGCATGGACTTCTAATCTTCGACCCTGATCTGAGACCAGTGTGAAGAAAATTTACACATCCCTTGGCCACCCCGGCCTTGTGCAGCAAGTCTGGAACTCCACGAAATTGCTGAACCTCAACTCTCTCAGGCCTTACTTATGCTTCTGCTTCGGATATCAAGATGTATCAAAGTTTGTGCTGAGCTGGCAAGAAAGGGAAGCCAAGCCAGTCGTGTGATTGGGCCTCCAACGTCAATGCTCACAATCGAAGTCACACTGGCACCCATCTTGCTGAGGTCTTTTCGCAGTTCGCGAGTGGGCTGGAACTCGTGCAGTTCACAGTTTATCGTTGCACGCAAGGATTGTGACGAACCAACAAGTTCGCCTTAAGAAAGTTGAAGCGGTCTTAAGAAAAGTCCTTTAGAAAAGCTTCTTAGCTTTTCAGGCACGTCCAAGCTCGGGTTAAAAAGACCAAGCAGGGACTCATGCGCTTCCAAGCTGAGACTCAATCGTGGAGTAGTCACACAGGTAGTTCTGAAAGTCCTCGAAGCTCACGTGGCCTTCAGCGTTCGTGGCAATGGCGGCTCGGCAGAGGTCAAAGAGCTCGTTGGAAAGATCACGGTGACCACAGTGCCTTTCAAGCAAGTCCTCGAGGAACAGCCGAAGTTCGTGCAAGTCCAAATAGTTGCTGTCATCCCGATCATAGCGACGCCACAACTCCTTGCAGTCTTCGTCCGTCAGACTCTTGAGCCTGAGCTGTGGGTGGAATTCTACCTTGCCGGGTTGTTCGAGGCGGACATTCTACATGGCTGCGTTGGAGAGAGGAACTGGCCAATTGCGCTAAGTGCGGTCAAAGGGCTTATACTGACTCAGGAACTGCTCACTACTGAGAGACCTGGCAGCGACACTGAGGTAGGCGGTGGATTGCATCTCCGTCAGTCGGCTAACCTGGGAGTCTGAGACAACAGTTCAGCAGACGACTGCCCGAGATCTAGAATCCAGAATAGGCAAGAACAAAAAACTGGCTGCAGTCCGTTGCAAGAAACTGTGCGATCCCAGGCGAAAATCTCATCGGCAATGGAAGTCTTACGCTCCTCTTCAGTCACATAGAACAACTGTATCGGGTCGAGCTCGGCCGTACAAATCACTTTGGTGTGGCATTCGTAGAGAGCATCGATGAGGGTGATGAAACGACGAACTTGATCACGCTCTTGCATGGTAAGCCGTGGGATATTCGAAATGAATACTGTGTGGAAGGCGTTGCCTACTGCCAAATAATCTGCTGCCCCCAAAGCCTGGTTGCATAGGTCGGAAAATGTAAACCAAGCAACATCTGAATTCTCAGCACAGCGTGGGACATTGACCTTGCGGCCCTGCGTCTCTACCAGTGCATCTGTGCGGAAATGGCCATGACAAACCTTCTCGAACTTGGCCTCCAAAAGCTTCTGCTCATGCGGACCATTGGGGGTGATGTATACTCGATGGTCCTCCTCCTGCGTGGAGATCATGCGGTAGTCCACCTCTTCGCCAATGTCGTGCACTTTGCAAAACTCTTCGAGCATGGGAATGAAAGGCAAGAACAAAGGCCGGTTCAGGCCGTTCAGGTACAAGTCTTGCGGAGGACGGTTGGAGGTGGCCACAACCACCGCCCCGAGCTCGAAAAGTACGGAGAAGATGCGCTTCATGATAATGGCATCGCTGATGTGTGTGACCTGAAACTCGTCGAAGCACAGGAGCCAGCCGTCCTTCATCATGTCGGTCGCAACCTGCTCAACCAAGTCATCGGCAGTGTTTTGAGAGTTCATGCTGCTCCCCTTCTGCTTCTTGTGAAGCCGCGAATGGACATCAATCATCCACTCGTGGAAATGAATACGCTGTTTCTCCTTGATTTTAATCTTGTCATAGAACATGTTCATCATGAATGTCTTGCCGGTGCCGGTGCCCCCCCATAAGTAGAGTCCTCTTTGTCCTGGGGCGGGCTTGAGCGCTACCTCAGCCTTGGGTGCCGGCTTGGCCGCTTTAGCCTTACCTCCAAAGAGGCCGCCCAAGAATCCGCCTCAGCTCAACTCGGATAGCTGCGTAGCTGAGACCAGCGGACCTTTACTAACCTTTCAAAGGGAACCGCAGCTCTATGCTCTGAAGATCCAGGTGGCCGCCACCGGCCGGGGTGGCAGCGGGGCTCGGGGACTTTGCCTCGGTCAGGCACCGATTCGAACTTCGTGGCTGTTTCGGCTCAACAACTTAAAAAAGCTCGCAGCGCTCGCAGTAGTGCAATCCCGGCTACGGCCTTGGTCATCTTCGGGTTGTAGCTCATAAGGTCTTTTGCTAGATCGTCGAGCATGCTCATGCAAACCTCTTGGTGTGGGTCTTCTTGAAGCTCACCAACTGCCCTCAGCTGGAGATAATGTTCCAAGCACCCCCCGGGCATGGGCGAACCCCATCGCCTTTGTCCAGGCATGACAACCGGGCAGGCAACACGCTTTAGTGGTCTGCCCGGGAGAACGTGGCGGAATCCGGTGACGCCGGTGACTCCATGGAATGCCCTGGACGCGGCAGGTTGCCTGCCTAGCCTGCCTACCACCAAAAGAGCACGCATTGGCGCCCGGGCCCGCAGCATCCTGTGCTGTCCTGGCTGCTTGGGCCCGCAAACGCTCCTCGAGCCTCGCGGCATGCCGAGTCGGCAGAGAATGCATCCGTGCTGCAGCAGCACAGCACTGACCACTGTAATTGAGCTTCCGGAGTTCAGGCGCATCCCTTCAGATCACAGCGAGCTCCATTCCTTAACAAGTGAGCACCAAGCTTCCGGCAAAGGGCCATGTCAAGTATTCCAGGCTTTGAGACCAGTACATGCTTGCACGGACCTCTCAAGGCAAGAGCTCAGAAGTCGTCTCTGCGCATGTATCGAGGGCACGGCATACTCGCCGGACCACTGATCCTCTGGCCAAGATCTTCCAAGTTTCAAGTTTGTGGGGCGATTGCTTGAAGCCTGTAAGTTCCGTGGACTCCACCCTTCCCGCTGACCCAAGTAGACCGCGAGTTGAGCCACAGCCCACACCCACTAGCACTGCAAGATCCGAACTTTCCGGGGAACAAACTGGTACCAAGAACATGGCGTGTGGCATCTGCAGCTCAGGTCGGCTCAGGTTGAACATAGCCTTTGATTTGTTGGCACTCTATCGCAGCAACTTCCCACCTGACTTGAAACATGGACCCAGCATCGGCTGTTCAGATCGGGCTCCCAAACCGTGCGAACGGAAACCTCCGCGGCCAAGCTCATGACTTGAGTCGGGCTAAGCTTTAAAGCAGAACCCAGCCGCGTCCTGTGGCGGGAATGGCCGGTACGGATGACGCCGAGACCAGAACCTCAGGCTCGGGCTGGCTAGGCCGAAGCTGGGGTTGAGTGCGACTCAAGCCAGGGCTCACAGCAAAACCAATGCCAGGCGACTCCTTCTTTTGCATCCAATTCTCCTCTGGCACAGACTTCCTGGGCGGGCAGGGCTCGTGGGTTGAACGGGTCAGCATCGGAAACACCCAAACCATGAGCGGCACGAACCTGGTTGCTATCGAACAGTAGAACGGGTCAGACCGGGGGACATCGCACGAGAAGCACAATCAACTGGAGCCCTTGCGCTCAGCAAACCGAAGCGCCTCCCAGAATCAAAACCCTCACGGAGTGACTCTAAACCGTGAACCTCTCAACCTGCGAAGCCATGGGACAAGTTGTTCCAGAGGTTGATATGCCAGAACCGTGAGTGCGCCAGCAAGTCCTGAACGATGAAGAAACGGCTGTGGACCGTGACCAGACCAAGAATCTGGCATGGGTTAGCCTTATTGCACTACTGCCTACAGCTGCACGACCCCTTTTGAGTTCTCCGAAGACTCGTCTGGACACTTCAACCGTCCTTCCGGAACAAAATGTGCACGCAACACACTTGCTGCGTGGAGACGACATTTAAAAAAAATGGAAACAGATTGTCCAAAGAACTCGTGTGAAGTCCTGATGCCCTCGGCACTGAGACAGAAACTCCAGCTCACGCTGAAGCAGATGGAAAGAAGACAATGAGGAAACCCGACTTGGTCGAGTTGGTGAGGAAAAATTATGTCGTATCAGGCAATGGTGCATCTAATTTCGTGTTGCTGCGACACCACGGGAATCAAGATCCGCTCTGCCTCTTTGTGCGGCACGAAGAGCGGCATGTCCTGGCGCAGCTCTTGCCGTGAGTTGGGTGGTGTCCGTTCAGGGACCAGCTTGAGAAAGACGCGAAAAGACGGCTGGCTCTCGCAGTGTTGGTCAGCCACACAAGAATCTAACGATCAAGTTTGCGGTTCCCGACCGATCAGAACCTGTTGCAGAAGCACAGCCTTCATCATTTTGAGCCTTCCAGGATTCCAACGACTTGACCCGTGTCGCTAGCTTGCGGTCTGTAGCTTTTCAACTCAACTGAACTGTTAACTATTTTACCACCCTTGGTCGAAGTAACCTCACCTCAACTATCGTATAACTAGCTGCTGCCATGCTTACATCTCAGAATGTTGCAAAAGCCAAACTAGCACATTCATCTAGCTGTGGCACCAAAGCAAACCCCTGACAGATGGGAATCCCGACAGCCACACTTGCAATCCCAAATGTCAAGATCGAGTTTCTGGAGTTGCCACCAAACTGCGAGGGCCAGGATAAAGCCAGGACCGTGACCAAATCATCCGAAATGCTCCCCTGGGGCGCCCAGCCATGCTGTAAAACTCACGCCACTGCATCAGCACCCAACCTCGGCAACTCGGGTGAGCATGGCCGCCTTGAGCATACCGACATGTCAAGAACAATCACTAAGGCTTAGGGAGGCACACCAGGCAAAAGTCGGAAGCCCGCTGACTGCAACTCAGTAACTATGGGGACCAGGAAGGTAAGCAATGGCCTGGTAGGCCGCATAGTCTTCGAAACCTGCAACTAGCGGCCCAAAGCTGTGGATAAGCCAAACTTCTGCGGCGATGCTAGCAACACAAGCAAGACCGCATCAGCAATACCGAGAACGTCAGTTCGAGACAGCCAAGGCTTCGCAATGCAACTGCAACACCACGCAGACTCTGGCTAGAATATGAATGAAAGCCCTGAAAAACCTCACCCAAAGCTAGGTTCTCAGGCTGAGGAAAGAGTTCTGGATGGCGAACTTAGGCGTGAAGCCTTGGATGGGGATGTCGGAGTCGTGGCTGTGGGTCTTAGAACCGTGGAATTTGTTGCCTGAGGCGGTATTCAACTATTAAATCTGTGGAGTTGTGTCTGGTTTTGTAACTGAAATATCATCGAGCAACGACACTTCCGATTTTAGCGCAGGCTTTCGAGCCGTAGAGGCTCCGGATATGAACCCAACATAGTGGCTCCCTGCTTGTTGCGAGTGATTTGATCGCTGCGTGATCCCTAAGCAGCCGACAATAAACTGCCAACGCAGCGCACTCACCGACCCCCACTGTTGCGATATGCTTGTGCTTTGCTTGCCGAGAGTCTCTCCCCCGCAAAGGACACAAGCAGGTGAAACATCCACTCCTGAGGCGGTCAGAGGTATCCGGTGCCATGCGGCGCCGGACTCCAAGACAGCTTGAAAGTCCCTACGCGCTTCCGTTGCTTAGGACAGTTGACATCTGAAAAGCACGCCAGGAGACGACCTGTTACCATCGGCAAGGCACTGATTGCGACGAGACAGACGCAGATCTGGACTTTGGCACGAGGATTTGATCCTCAGCGAGGGGATGGATTCGTGTGGGCTAGACTCAATCCGAGCCCCAGTTCCTCTTGGGCTGTGGCCAGTTTGGGTGCGTACTTCAAGCGAGTCAGGTAGACAGCCTAGGATCTAGCTGGTCTTGCATGTTGATAGATGCACAGAGGTAGCGTGCGGAAACAAATACGGAAGCCGTGCCGACGTCCCAGGACCGGAATTGGACCGAATCGGTTTGGGAGAGCATCGACATCTCTCATGTTCTCACATCGTTTGAGAAATGGACAACAAGCCCTCCACCTTGTTATCAAGTTTCAGGTGCGGCTCACCATGAGCTGCCAATCAAAAACAGGGAGCGTTCTATGCCGGACAGTACGCGCCATCCTCTAAAGCTTTGGGATGCTGATCCATTTCCTCCAAGGAAAGTGGGCCAGCCAAAGAGTCGCACTCGGTGGTGGGAGCGTCGAGCCGCTCGACAGCTGCGAGTCACTCAGTACTCACGCTGCTAACTAGTCACAGCGCAAAATGCGTAGCTGCAGACAACCTCAGCTACTAACGTCTCAGTCATCCACCGACGATCAGCAACAACCATGTCACAGAAGAAAAAGACAAAGCATAACGAAATGACAACAGGACAAAACGCTCTCACTCACAGAGTGACATGCAAAGACGAAGAAAGTGCTTTCAATCCTTTCTGCCTTGAGATTTGCACTCTCCACGACAAGACTCTCCAAAGAAGCATGACGTGCGCCTTGGCGTATCGTTTGCAAGACAGTGCTTCCTGTCCGGAGGCAAATGCAAGCGGTAAGCAAGCCGCGTGCAGCTGAATCGAATTCCCTTGAGGGGGAGAGGCACTTTGAGGACGCACTGAAGGAGAACCTGCCGTAAGCGACAGGCTTCTGGAGAACGAAGCTGCGAGTAGCTGACTCACATTGCACTCAAATTTATGGCAGGTTGTCTCGGCGTTGGAACCTTCCTTTCTGCACTCCTTTCAAAAGGCCCTATGAAGTTGCCGGCGAAGCACAAGAGGTCGATAGATGGGGTGCAGCTGGCCCGAGTGAGCGTGCAGGACTTCGGCTGTGTAAGGGGCGTCGACCCTCAGTGAGCACTGGCACTCAGACATGCTGGAACCACGATTTGCAGGATGCATATCCCCGCGTCACGAATGTGAAACCCACAACCCCATGAGCCCGAAGATAAATCAATATGAGCCCAGAGCACAGCAGCATGGCATCCTCTTTGTGTCTATCCACATACCTCGCAGAACAATCTCGGGGGTCTTCTGGTTCTACAGTTGGCACGAATTTGAAATTTCTATGTGGTGAGGGGAGTGACCATATCGTCATGACCAAGTGCTTCAATATGCTAAGGGCGAAGGCCTATGCTGTGACATGTTGGGACATACTGAAAGCTCAATGTGGCGAGGACAGATTGTGGAATGTGGGCTGTGGGGTTGTGGATTGTGGTATGGTGGAAATGGAAAGTGACTGTGGGGGATATTATGAGGCTCTGAATTGGGGCTGCTGCGATTGTGCACTGCCAAAGCGGCAGCAGGAAGAAGCAGTCGTGCCGTATTCCTCCACCTTTAGGATGTCGTGGCAGTTGTGGTGGCAGCACAAGCAGTAGGGAAAGTAGCACTAGTAGTAGTAGTAGTAGTAGTAGTAGTAGTAGTAGTAGTAGTAGTAGTAGCAGTAGTCGTTGTTGTCGTCGTCGTAGTCGTAGTTGCAGTCGTAGTGAGTCGTAGTCGTAGAAGTAGTCGTAGTCGCAGTCGTAGTAGTCGTAGTAGTAGTAGTACTACCACTACCACTACCACTACCACTACTACTACTACTACTACTACTACTACTACCACTACTACTACTACTACTACTACTACTACTACTACTACTACTACTAGTAGTAGCAGTAGTAGTAGGAGTAGTAGCAGTAGTAGGTGGTAGTGGTTGTAGTTGTTATAGTTGTAGTAGTAGTAGCAGGAGTAGTAGTAGTAGTAGTAGTAGTAGTAGTAGTAGCCTTAGTAGCAATAGTGGCACCAGTAGCAGTAGCAGCAGTCGCAGTCGCCGCCCTCGCAGTCGAAGTGGGAGTTGGAGCCGGAGTAGGAGTAGTCGCAGTCGCAGTCGGAATAGGGCTAGGGTAGGGGTAGGAGTGGGTCGGGTAGGAGTAGGAGTAGGAGAAGGAAGAGGGGTGGCAGTAGGAGTACAAATACAAGTGGAAGTAGAAGTACAAGTTGTTCTACTTCTACGTCAATTTCTGCATCTACATCTGCAACTATTCATACTTGTACTTCATTTACCATTACCAATACCACCACCACCACCACCACTACTACTACTACTACTACTGCCACTCCTACTACTCCTACTACTACTACTACTACTACTACTACTGCTATCACTGCTACTACTGCTGCTACTACTGGTACTACTGCTACTACTGCTGCTACTACTACTACACTCTGCTACTACTCCTGCTACTCCTAGTCCTACTGCTACTGCTACTGCTACATCAAAAATTACCAACATTACCACGGTGGTGCAGTCGGCGGGTGGGCCGGCGGCCATTCAATCGGCCTGTCGGTCGGTCTGTCGGTCTGTCGTTCTGTCGGTCGGTCTCTGTCTGTCTCCGTCCGTCTCTGGCTGTCTCTATCTGTCTCGCTTTGCTTTGCTCAGCTCAGGGGTGGGAGCTGCAAGCAGTCCTTGCAGCCCGCGCTTCAGTGCAACCCCATCCAACATTCTGTCGGCATGGGTTCGGCTGTACTCTGTGCATGGTGGTGGCGGCGGTAGCGGTGGCAGTGGTGGGGAGTTGCTATTGGCGTTGTCCGCCTCGTTGCTGCGGCTTCTGCTTCGCTGCCTTGCTTCCTTCTGCATGACGCACATTGTGTCCCCCTGCCGCTGCAGCGTCATGTGTATCTGGGTGAGCTCTGTTCGGTCGTCTTCGCTTGGCCAGGAGTGCTCAAACTCGTCCCCTTCTGTGGGCGCTTGGTCTGCCCGGCTGCGTGTCTCCTCCTGCCGCTGCTGGTGTGTCGGGAGTGCCCTGGTCCGTCTGTGCTTGAGCTGGCTCGCTCGTCCCTTGTCCATTCTGAAGGCAAGGTGTACGTGTACCTGCCAAATTGCGTAGGGTTTGTAGGTTGTACACTTTCAATGTACACTGCTGGTTCTCCCATTGTAGGAATGCTTGGTTCTCGCTTCTCGAGCTGGGAGTGCCCCTCTGGATTGCACCATCCGGGGCTTCGCGCACTCTCACGTGCCACACCGATGGTGTGCCCTTGTGCAGTGTGGGCCCACCGGTCGCGCGAAAAGGGTGAGGTCCATGCCCAGGTATCCGTGCATGATGGGTTCTCTCCTTGTAAGGAGGGCGTACGGTGCGTTGTAGGTGGGTGTGTTTGTGGACCCCGGTATGAAACGAATGGCGAAAAGGGTCCTGCCGGCATGGATTGTGCGACGATCGCCAGGTTGGCTCCCACACTGCCTTGTGGCATGCACAGCTCGTGCCTGGTGCCCATGGATTCCCACGTCATGGTTCGGGGGGCGTTGCCCTGACCTTGTGGTGGCTGGTGCCCTGCCTGCTGGTGGGGCTGGTTGCTAGCCTCTCGTGTTGGTAGGGGCTGTTGCCCGCGCGTGGTGTCTGCCGGGTCATTCCTCTGCCGGGTATCTGTGCCCGTGCTGCGGTGGGTCGCTGCTGCCGGTACTTGGTGCCTGCTGTTGGTGGTTATGCTCTGGCACTGTGGCGCTGCCGGTACCTTCTTGTGCCGACTCCTTGGTTGTGTGCCCTGTGGCCTTTGGCTGTCGTGGGCTGCTGCTGCCGTCTCCTGCCTGACGCGGAGGTGTGCTCCTGGCTGTGTTGTCGTCGCGCCTGCCGCCTCTGGGCCGCTACCGTCGTGTGTTCGCGTGCGAGACTGGCCGGGTGATGGTTGTGGATGTGGTGGGTCTCCTCCTCCTCCCGCTGGCGTGTGTCGCTGGGCCGGTGTGCTCTGTTGTTGCCTGGGCAGCTCTCCGCCTGCTTTGGTGGGGTGGTCGCCGGCCAGCGAGGGGGGTTGCCGTGGGTGGTGGCCTGACTCAGGCATGCCTCTGCTTTGCTGCTGCCGCCGTCGCTGCCTTGGTGCCCTCTCCAGCCTGTTGTGAAGGCTCGTGGAGTGGTGGTGTTGTGTACCCATGCTCCGCTGTTTGCCCTCTTGCGGGGTGGTGCTGCATGTAGTCGATGTCTGCCTGAAGATGTGTGCTACTTCAATGGAGGGGTCTCATTGAGGAAGCGCCAAAGCTGCGGTTCGGCCTGGCACCACGTTTAGTGGTTCGGCTTGTGCAATCCAAACTTGGGGAATTGACTTTTTATCCATTCCTTGTAGGCCTTGGAGTGTGCCCAGCTGCCCGGGAAGTCGACCCTGTTGGGCGGTGGGTCGGGCGGTCCCTCCTGGTACTGTGTACTGAGCCAGCCCGTGTGTCGGGTGCTGCCTGTTGCTGTGGTGGCTGGTGACTGCCAGAAGCCGCTTGTTGTTGCTGCGGGTGCTGGTGATGGTGGGACTGCTGTGGCTCGTCTTGGTGCCCGGCTGAGTTGTGGTCCAGGTGCTCCTGGTGCCTCCACTGTTGTTGTTGGTCAGGTGTCCGTGTTGCATCATCTGTGACGTGGTGGCCGTGGATGTGGGTTCCCGTTGCTGTCGAAGCTGCTCGTTGGTGTCCTGGCCGGGGGTCGCTGCTGGGGCTCAGGTTCCCGGATGTTCGGCTGTGTGTTGACTGGCGGGGGAAAGGTCTGCTCGCTGGAGGTGCCAGAGCTGCCTTGTGGTTGTTGGTAGGTAGGGTGTTGTGGCTGGTGTTCTTGCAGGGGAGCTGCCGCGCCAAGTTGTTGCTGTGGGTACCCGGCTTCTGCTGCGTCGTCGGGTGCTCTTGCTCGCCAGACGTGAGCAGAGGCGCTGGCGTCGCAAAAACTTTTGGCACGGCGCCAGACAAAAGTCTGACCCCGAGTCACACGCATGGATCTTTTAGCACCCGGCAGGACTCGGGGCGTTTAACGCCGGCCCTGACAAGTGGCTTTAGCAGGAAGCCAGCAAAGGAGAGTCGCCGCCCTGGGCTAAATCTGTCTGCTGTCGCTCTCTCTCTCTCTCTCTCTCTCTCTCTCTCTCTCTAACTGTCTGTCTCTCTGTTCTCTTTCTGACTCTGTCTCAGTCTCTCTGTGTGTCTGTCGGTCTGCCTGTCAGTCAATCAGTTAGTCAGTTAGTCAATGAGTTTGTCTGTCTGTCTGCCTGGAACTTGAGTTTCTCGTCACATCTAAACTTCTCGATTTCAACCTGTCCGTTCATCCATGTATACATGTGTACACATATCATTTTCGAGCATGTGTCCGTATTCGGTTCCGCCTTAAGGCAAAATCCCATGTGCAGAGACATGCGCGTCCTTGAAGTCAAACGAGAAACCCACAAGGATGCACTTTATTGTTCCTGCGGGATGCCCGTCAGCCCTAGAATCAGCCCAATCAGGTCTAGAAGAAGTTGACAACACTACAACGCCTGCGTGCTCTCCCTAAACCCGAAACTCGAAGACAATCTGCAGTGTTGCCGAAGTGCAGAAACCGAAACATGGTGCGGAAGCTCTCCCTCGCCCAAGTCTCGAAGACAACATGCCAGCACTGAAACGCATCCATGCCACGTCCACATGGCCTTCAGCTCCTGCTCGTAGATTCTGTAGACAGGACTGAAACTGACACTTCGACATCGACATCGGTGAACCCCGTGAACCCCAAAACCACCTGAAACAACCTGTTCGTCCATGTTCTTGGCAGCCTTGCAGCAGCCTGAGCTATGCTGTGACCTGCGAGTTGGAGAGCACGGCTTCTATGATGCAAGTTCAGGGGAAAACCTAAAAGTTGCAGACCTGTTTGGCGGTCTTGGACTTCCCACTTTCCCACTTGCAGCGTCTGGTCTTGTGGAAAGTTCCAATCTGCATGGTCGTTGGTTTACCTCGTTTCCTGCAAACTATGGCGAAGCATCTTCTACAGTGTCCCGCGGCAAGGTTCTTTGGAATTCCAAACATTCCCAGATTTCTGCTTTTTCTGCAAGACTGTGGGTAATTCCAATGTGCAGGATCCCCCCGGAGTTCCAACATGTAGGGTCCGCCGGTGTGAGTGTTTGGTAGAGGTGGCGCTGGTGGTGCTGGTGGTGGTGGTGGTGGTGGTGGTGATGGTGGTGGTAGCGGTGGCAGTGGTTGTAACATTGGTGGTGGCGGTGCGGGTGGTACTGGCGTGGTGGTAGGGGTGGTAGCGGGGGTAATGGTGGTAGTCGTGGTAGCGGTGGTAGTCGTGGTAGTGGTGGTAGTGGTGGTGGTGGTAGTGGTGGTAGTGGTGGTACTGCTGTCCATGGCAGCAGCAGCGTGAAGAAAAGTCGTAGCTAAAGTGGCAAGAGTAGAAAGAGCAGCAAGAGTAATCAGAGTAGTTTGCATAGTAAGTTAGTATGAAATGCAAGAGTCGCACAAAGAAAGGTATATTGACAGCATTCAGACTGATAAAAGTGGTCCGGCAAGAGTACTAGTAAGAGAAGCCAGCGCTGCCAGGGCAGAAACAAGAGTTGCACGACGAAAACAGTAAGCATTTTCAGTTAACCAGCCTCGCCAACGCAGTCCGTGTAGCAACAGTTGTGGGTCAGTGGCCGCCAGGGGCTGAGTGGGGGATGCAGAAGCTGCACTGAAGCTGCTGCCCTGTTCTAACGACTAAAAGGTCATGACTGTTGACAGCAGCCCACCTTCAAGCTATGTCGCAAAGTCACTATGAAGTCCCTCGACGGAACAATTCATTGAAATCCATGTTGGTTGGAGCAACCACGGGAACAGTATGGATTCTACCAATAATGCTGCGCAGAAAACTGCCCGGGAAAGTTAGTTTCACAACGAGAGCCGCGGCATTGTGCGTGCTGGAGCATTCCGCTTTAGGGTGAAACATCAAAAAAATTTGATAAGCATCAAAACAAATTTGAGCCCACAGCCATCAAAAAAAATGATAAGCATCAAAACAAAATTTGCATGGCCATTCTAGGGTACTGTTCTCCTGCAAGCTCAATTCGCAGGATGCTGCACTGAGCCAAGCTATTCAGGGAATGACGAGTTGCAGTCGCCTGTTGTGATCTAGCTATTGGGTAAAACTTCCTGCGCTGGGCCAAGCTATAGGGGAATGACAAGTTGCAATCGCCTCTTGTGGGTCTAGCTACTGGCGAACTGCAATGTGCAATCCATTGTCTGCAATGTCGAGGACTGATAGTAGTACTAGTAGTAATAACAAAGTTAGTAATAGAATTACTGGTAATATGAACAGCAATAATGGTAATAACGGTACTAATAATAGCAGGAGTACGAACAACAAGCATCATAATGACTATGCCAATCATAACATGATCTATCATGGCAATACTAGAGACATTCGCGGTCGAAGTATGTAAAAAAACAATGGCAAAAGTAATATGATAGAAATAGTAGTAGTAGTAGTAGTAGTAGTAGTAGTAGTAGTAGTAGTAGTAGTAGTAGTGGTAGTAGTAGTATTTCTAGTAGTAATAGTAGTAGTAGTAGTAGTAGTAGTAGTAGTAGTAGTAGTAGTAGTAGTCGTAATCGTAGCAGTACTAGAACTAGTTCTAGTACTAGCAGTAGCAGTAGTAGTAGTAGTAGTAGTGGTAGTGGTAGTGGTAGTGGTAGTGGTAGTGGTAGTGGTAGTGGTAGTGGTAGTAGTGGTAGTGGTAGTGGTAGTGGTAGTAGTAGTAGTAGTAGTGGTAGTAGTAGTAACACTAGCTGTAGTTACTGTAGTTGGTGTTGTAGTAGTGGTAGCAGTGGTAGTAGTAGTGGTAGTAGTAGTGGTAGTAATAGCAGCAGTAGCAGTAGTATCGAAGCATTGGCCTGTTTCCTGACGAGGACTCTTTGTGCAGTGAGCAGGTTACGCCGCTGATTGCAGAGCCGCCCATAGCGCCAGAACGCATAATCAGGGACTTCACCATGGGCCAATACCAAGTAGATACACTTTGCTTTCCACATGTGTCGCCCAAGGGATCTCTTGAGATAGATAGAGGTCGAGGCTGCACTGGATAAGGGAAAGGGTACCTGGGGTTTGATGAGCTGCCAGAATGCAATCTGGACCGAGGGAATGCCACCACAGGAACGGATGCAGGTCTTCAGGCGCCCAACGCGTTTGTCACAGGTGCATACGCGAGGGCCTCATTTCATGGCGGGCAACTCGGGATTTTCCCTGGCTGACGTGCTTACTGTGCTCTATTGTTCGCCATGTTGCTCCTGGCCACAGATTTACATCTATCACGCTGGCACGAAACATTCTGAACAATGTGCATAAAGACTCTCGTAATGATGGCTGCTCGTGGAATCTTCTGTTACCGCGCTCCATGTACTCACATGGCGAACTCTGGCTAGACAGTGAGAATGGCGCCATTTCTCTGACCAACGACGGGAGATGCCGTGAACTTCACAGCACGCAGAAACCGTGCTTGTTCCAACCCCGCACTCTCCATGCCACTATGCCCTGGAATGGACAACGGCTCGTAATGATGGCTTTCCATACCCGCAATGCTGATCGTACACCCAGCAGCAATATGAATACGCTATTGGCGATGGGTTTCTATCCAATGGAGTATGCCTATGCAACACATATGCGTCAGCCCGCATCAGATGCAGACGATAGTGGCTGAGAGCATTCGACTTGTCGAATGGCTTGCAAGAGAAAGCTCGCTCAAGCAATGGTGTTGGTGTGGCTCGCGACAATTCTTCATTGATTCATTCACTCGTGACATGATGCTGAGGTCATGAGATTTTTCAAACATGCTGATACCGTAAAGCATTTTCACCTCAAGGTGTACATTGTTAATGATAGGCCACTTGGAACTTCGGTTCGGGCCTCAATTTTGGCATGCTTGGCCCTTCGGGGCGATGCCCTTACGGGCCGTGAAACATGGTGCTGCTGGGTGCAGCCAGGCTAAGCCTGCCGGACGCCAGATGGATGGATGGATGGATGGATGGATGGAGGGAGGGAGGGAGGGAGAGAGAGAGAGAGAGAGAGTAGCGGTAGTAGTAGTAGTAGCAGTAGTGGTAGTTGTAGTTGTAGCAGTACTCACTCACTCATGACCGCCATATCGTCCAAGTCGATACGTTGCGGGGACAGACCAGTGGTCCGGCGATTTGGTATCGAACCATAATTTTATGGTTCCACATAAATGCAAAAGCTGGGAGAAAACTACCCGCACGGCCACCAGGAAAAAGCCACCTAGTCCAGCGTGTCCAGCTCGAGAAAGAAAGAACGATCACCTCGGTTCACCTGTACATTACGACTGGTCTCGTCAGCATCTAAGTCAGCAGACTGTTCCACGACGCCGACAAGCAGCGACGTGCAATCAATCTGCCCGTCCTCGCGATCGCCATCCACGTCAGTGCCAGCTATGCCAGAACTCAAGGCCAGAGTGTCCGGAGGACGAGTCACCTCTGTGGAGACTGCTGGGGGTGCCGTTGCACTAGAAGTCGCCGCCGAGGCAGGAGACAACCCGGAGTACCACAAAGAAAAACATGATTACTGAAATTCTCCGCGGCATCCTGTGCAGCTAGGCGCTGTGCTCGTTGCAACCTTGTACAGCGACTGGTGTGTCCCGCATGTTGTCTGCATCCAGCAAGTTGTAGTAGTAGTAGTAGTAGCAGCAACAGTAGCAGTAGTAGCAGTAGCAGCAGCACGAGTTGCATTCGCCTGTCATGAACTTAAGTATTCGGGAACTCAAGTTTCCAACTTCCTGCGTTGGGCCAAGCTATTGGGGAATGACAAGTTGCAATTCAAGTTGCAATCGCCTCTTGTGGATCTAGCCACTGGCGATATACAACGCATGTTTGTTGAGGAGTCATAGTAGTGCTAGTGGTAGTAATAATGGTAGTAATAACAGTTATTGGTGAATTACATAGCAATAGTACCAGAAAGTGTGTCTAATCTTGCAGGAGTACGAATTAGAAGCGTCATCATGACTATGCCAATCATAACAGACCAGGCAGAGGGGCAGGGCAGGCAACCCTCCCTCCTTTTTGTAAACTCGGGTGCCTGTATCGTGAGTTTTGACAAAGTCTATAACAACTATGTGCTTGACGTAGGTATTGTTGATGGTGCGATGTTCTGGACTTCTGGAAAGCAAGCCTTTACGGTTTAAAAAGAAAGCGGGGGGTGGGGGGGGCGCAGCCCCCTCCACTTGCGAAGGCAACGACCTGATGGGTTCTGTCTTTGGTGGCAGGATGATGCAATTATGTTCCTGTCAAGTTCTTCTTGATGGTGCGATGCAAGCCTGCACGGCCTAAAATCACAGCGGGAGCGTTGGGGGGCGCAGCCCCCCTCCTTGCAAACACAACGTGTTTATCACAGCAGGATGATATTTGAAGCGATCTTGTGCATGTCAAAGAATGCGAGGGTTGGAGTGGACGCGTGCACGGTGTATTGGTGATGGTGCGCTGTTCTTGAAAGCAAGCCTTCACGGTTTAAAAAGAAAAGGGGGGGTTGGGGGGCGCAGCCTTTCTTTCTTTCTTCCTTGCTTTCTTTCTCTCCTGAGTATTCTGCTTATGAAAAATTGTTTGATCCCGGAAAATTTTTTGATCCCGGAAATATGTTTTTGATCCCTGAAATAGTTTTTTTGACCCTTATCCCGGT